CCCTAGTACTGGAACAGCTCAACCTTGTATTGCTCAAATTTTATACTAAGAGAAGAGTGGAACAGTGAGTGTCTATGAAGAGCACACCATAAGATGTGGAGGAAATTCTTATCAGTGACTCATGTCAAATTGAGAAATCACCTACGAAGACAGAATGGAAAGCTTGTCACCAACACTTTACATGTAGCTGAAAGCTTCCCTGGTTTTTCAAAAAGGTCAAGACCTTTCTGAAAAACTTCTGAAAGATTCATAAGTTTCTGTAAAGTCAGAGGAAAAACGGAAATGGAAATCGAATTGACGTTGGCGTAGGGCGCCATGAGAGACCGTCGCTGGGATCGATATAGCCCCGCCTGTCGTCTGCGTCATGCATCCCGTCCTCAACCTCTCAAACACGCTAATTTCATCTACAGTTTCGATAGCTTAATCAGTTTACATTCCTTTGTTTCCTTTCAAGAAGGATTTCCTGATGAGATTTAACTTCACTGCTGATCACTAACCCAGTTTTTTTTTCAACCAATCACCTCTCCTATAGTAAATTTCTATCTACGAGTGGAAATAAGCTCCAGTCCGGAATTCGAATGCTAGGTCGATCTAAAACCCCTTGGGATTATTCAATAAAATGACCTGTTTCTGTTCTTGAACAAATTCGTCTCTTAGTAACCCTATGAGCTTTACACACCACTGCTCCTAGAGAAGACTATGAACCCTAGCGCAAAACACGTCTTCGGACCTTTCCTTCACGTCCTTCTCCTTTTCGCGACATTTTCTCCATGATATTTGCAATTTTTATTCTTCACCCTTGACTCCAATGCACAGCCAGAGATCTTTACTTCCATCGGATGATTATGATAAAGTACAACACAACATAAATTTCAGCATAATGTACAACAATTATTGGTGAATACAGGGGCAGGTACGAGTAGCAATGAGTTCTCAGTTTAAAGTCCCTTTATTCCAGAAATCAAAAACGACACATGTTTGAAGTTTAAATAAACGTATCAGTGTTTGAAGTAAAAAATTGTAAAGGCATCATAGTTGTGATGACGAAATTGAATGGTTACAATCATGAAATTGACGAATACACATAAAACACCTAAGGTGGGGGTGCGACCTTCTGTCCCGGTTGTGGCTGACCCTTCTTGTTCATCAAGTAGCGATGGATGTGAGGGATAACTCCTGCAAAGAAATAACATTTTACCAACATCAAAGTAGTTCCCAGATGGAATGAATGAATGAATCACACACCTCCTCCAGCAATAGTTGCCTTGATAAGCGTGTCGAGCTCTTCATCACCCCGAATAGCAAGGTGAAGATGCCTAGGGGTGATTCTTTTCACCTTGAGATCCTTGGAAGCATTACCAGCTAACTCTAACACTTCAGCAGTGAGATACTCAAGAATAGCAGCACTGAAAAATGTCAAATTTTACTATTTTTAGCCCTGAAACCTTGAAATCCTTAGTCATAGCACGCTCTATAAGATATCTAGTTAATGCAAACGATGCCATACCTGTAAACAGCAGCGGTTGCTCCAACACGACCAGTAGATGTCGTTCTTTGCTTGAGGAAACGATGAATACGTCCAACTGGAAACTGGAGACCAGCTCGGGCACTACGCGAAATCACTTTAGACTTAGATTTTCCTGAATCCTTGCCAGCCTTTCCTTTGCCTCCAGCCATTTCTCTTGAAATATGCCTTTTCGTATCAATAAAATTGCAGTGTGAAAATGGAGAAGTGCTCGCGATTTGCGAATGAACGTTCGGGCATCGAAAAAGAAACAGCTTTTGCAAAAAATGCAAAACCCAGGAAGATATAAACCGAAAAGAGCAGGTGGTCACAAAGTGATGCAGGCACACACCGCAGCGGAAAGCAAAACGAGACACGCCGCAAGCTGCGGACGCGCGGGAATCAATGACGCTGCCACGCCCAGTTGGCACGTGGCCAAGAGCGTTCAAATTCCTGGCGCGGTCCCGTCGCGAAAATTCGCTCGCGGGCGCAAGTCGGGCGCATTGCCAAGATTGTGTTCAATCGGGCCTCCGTTTCTACGACGGCGATTCGGCTTTCAGCTTGTGCTTGCTAATTAGATGGAATTGGAATCCTATCTCAGATCTCATTTTGAGTGCAGTAAAGGTTGTGCTGCGGTGGTAGTGTGTTGCTTTGCTGCTCATTGGTGTGTGTGGAAAGGAATTCTGGTTCATACCGTGCGAGATTGAAACATACCAAAGATAGGAATGGAAGGATGGAAGACGTCTAATCGAAGGATTCCCTGAAGTGGATGCGAAAGAAAGGTTGGATAGAGGCTTGGACACTGATGTGGTTGGCTATAAGTCTGTCTGGGACATTTGGTTCACATTGGGAGGTTCATAGTAGTGCTACATGCCGGTACTACTTTTCAAACTACTAACTAGGACTTCATTGAAATGAAAGGTTGAAAGGTTTAAGAGAAGAAAGGGCTGATCAATTATCGGTATTTGTTTGTACAAAGCAGACTCATGAAGGTGGAGTTGTTTACTGATTCCTCACAAAATTTTCAAAGCTAATCTACAAATTTCTTCCTTCTAATCCTGTACGGATTGAAACTCGCCCACGGTGATCTCGTTGATGTCCTTACACTAATGCTCTCAGCAGAAGCTTCTGTTATTGCTGTCTCGAATTTGTAATCTGCTTACATGTCATTCTTTGTAAGGACAAAGAAGATTTACTTCGTTCTCCGCAGATGGATATCAAAGAGCGGAGTATTGACAGTAATGCACTTTTGAAACTCTTGTGGTTATCCTTTCTGTCTTTCCACTTAACGCCAAGTATCATGGCTTCCACTTCTTTACAAGGTTTCTTGTGTGAAGTACAGCTTTTACAAACCTCAGGTTTTACAGTCAGAAAGTTTCAAAGCTTTTCTAACTTTTCTCGCCAGACTAATAAACTAAACATAGCACGCCATATCTAGATGTCGGTCCTACAAGGGAATTCTTCGGGACATGCCGCGCTTTTTCAATTTTTTGTAGGGACGCATGCATGGATTGCAAAACATTGTTTCATCCAAGGTGAACGATTTAAATCTTGCCGAAAGGTAGTGAAAAGTCTGTGTTGTGGTTTGATTCCCTGTGATGCAACAAAATTTGTATTCTCTCCTCAACCTATCGTACGGTGACGACCCTGAGGCTGGTGTCAGGTCCGCGAATCTGTCGACAGTTTCCGCTGATTTTCCAAAGCGCATTTTGTCGCAGATTTCCGCGAACCTGGGACGATGGGTACACAGGATTTGGGTTAGAAGCAGGGTCAACCCTATGTTGCTACAAGTAGCAACGGGGGGTCGTATTTTGATGAGTTTGTAGGGGGGGGGGTCGTACTTGCTTCGGTTGTAAGAAGAAGTTGCATGTGATGAGTGGGGAGCGGCGCGGGAGAAAAATTTGCCGTTAATGATGCTGCCGTTTTCAGCGTCGTCGCGGTTATATGGGAAGCCCCCCCCCTCCTTCCCCCTCCCGCTCGACGGTAATTTTTTGGGGTAAAAATTGTTTTGAAGGAGGGGGTCGTATGAAACATTTCATGAGGGAGGGGGGTCGTAAAAACTTTTTGAAAAGTAGCAACGATAGGACCGACCCTGGTTGAAGTTGAGCCCTGAATGAAATACTGCGAGATGCTGTTTAATCCTGCTGCGAATTCTGCTTCTCAGTGAAAAATGAAAGACGATTGTTTGTGATTCTACTTGTTTCATGTTCACCGTCTATCACTTCATTGAAGTGCTTCTGATTCGGATCGCAAAAATTGCAAGTGCTCGGCCATCTGAACAATGAAATACACTCTGGAATACCTAAACGATGTGGAATCTATGAAGGAGCAGTGTCCATCAGGGCCACACTGTCAATAGTCAGTTAAGTAGCGGGCGCCTTGCAGACTAAAGGCATATTGCATGTGTATATGGGGCACTTGTGTTACCGTGACTTACCGTCGCGCAGATCACGAAAAATCACGTTGAAGGTCAGCGAAACTCTGCGATGAACTCGCGAACATCTGACACCACCTGAACAAATCCACCAGCCGCCTCCGCCACCGTCTCTCACTACTCTTTTTAAGTGTTAACTCAGTTGTGATGGGTGGGAAAAGGCAGTCTTCGTTGTGGCCCGCGCCTTGCTCGTGTCCTCTCAGCAAAAGGGTGAAAGCTTGCACATTCCAGCATTCCGCTATTGTTGAAGTGACTCGCATACACATACCCATACAAATGGCTACAACTCCACCTCTGCAGCTCACCGGATTCCGTCGTTTCTGACACAAGCATGTCTACGGGGGTCTGCTCCCCCAACTAACCTGGTTAAGGTCTGTCCCTCACCCAAATAGCTTGGAACCCTTTTTTGAAACATTACTAACCATCCTTCAACCGATGTGAATCATGCTCCCTTTACCTCCATGCAATTCTTTGCAAATTCTATTCAATAGTGCAAAAAACCTGTTAAAAAAATCGTCACATTGCTCTGAACGCCGGTTATAGGTCAATGAACGAAATCCAGGAGAACTTCCTTCATCAATGTTCGAAATTATTTTAATACTTTGCACCAACAACATTGAGTATGGTTTTTCTCCGGTTATAGGCGGCTATGGTATCTGCGTACATAATCTGCGACACATCAAATAGCAACCACATGTCCTATGCCATATTTCTCAAATATCATTCTACCCATATTAACTGCCCAAATCGTGTCTGTTTCTTTGTCTCTTATTAGCGATTTGTTTCCAGAACTACTGTACCGCCTGCGGTGAGGTTTGGAGATGAAAGATTGAATGAAAGAAAGATGAAAGAAAGTTTTTTTTTTGTTGGTGTGGAACTTGCTTGAAGTCGAAATTTATGATGAAAAGGCAGCCCATCAGAAATCTAGGTTTAGATGGTCGGTGGTGCAGGGTGAGAGACCATCAGCAACTTGGAGGGGGACCCCTCTTTGCCCGTTAATTTCTGAGTGAGATTCTCATCAGTGCTGCCCTCTTCGACGCTAACGCTCTCTTGCTGACGTGGTCAGCAATTAGACCATGAGTGGCTTGCCCGGCGCGAGCGGCTCGGGTAAACCCTGCTAAGCCGTCTGAATGAAATACTTCTTTGCTGCGAACCGCGCATCGTCCTCACGTCCTTATGGGCTTCACGTGCTCCTGTTGAATAGGTACATGTAATTCTGCCTATTTCGAATCTGCTCGACGTCATCAGTGAGTCCCCCTTTTGAGTTTGTCAATAAAACAATTGAAAATTGATCTGAACTTTTTAGTTATTTGCCACTGAGCCATCGATTTGTTGAATCTTGGCTAAGCGCTTTAAGATTTACTCAAAATAATGATTAATCATGATGAGCCATTACCGTTAAGCATTTCTATTAATGAGCAGAATGCCTACATCGCCATATTTGTTCACGAAGAGGAATCATTTTAAGAATTGAAGTTGTTTTTCAAATTTGTATATTCTGCTGCAAGCTCCGCTGTGTTCTGCTCTGGAAATACTTTTATCTGTTATTTTTGTGGACGTTTCATAATTTTCGTGAATGGGGAGCATTGCTAGCCCAAATAGCCCAAAAATGTCGTGTTCCCATGTTTCATGGTTTCGGTTATTAGCGATTGCACCGACAATGGTGCTTCGAAATCATTCGTTGCCACGACGAATCGATCGCATTTTGTTGGAAAGATGTTACTATTGGTGCTTTAACGCGTTCCGGTGTAGCAATGTTCTAGGGCAACTCTCGTTTGCAATCCAAGCTGTTTTTCTGCTGAAAATCTTATTTCGTCGTTCTGCCATTGCCGATCTTTGCTTACATTGCTGGTTGTTGTCCTTACAATGTTTATTCATCGTTTAAGTCGCTCTGGAATTTTTGGAATTTCTTGTCGAATATAATAATTCAGGAGGAGCTGGCCTAGGCACACAATGTCTCACTCCAAAAGCATAAATTCCGAGCATCGAGCCTACGGAAGTTTTCGGGCCAAATTCGAAGGCATCCGCCCTTTTTGATGCTGCTTTCTCTAAACCGTGAGTAATTTTTTTCGAAGACAACTGTAAGTGTAGTGGATAGTAATTTAGAACATTAGTATGTTTCTTTATTTTGTTAGGTAAGAATAACTTATCTTCCCTTTTGACTAGGATGTAGGCTTTTCTATTCAAAGCAACTGACCCAATCGCTCGGCCAGTCCGCCGGTGAGCGCGCGCATTTTTCTTAAAGCCGAGTGAGTGGCGCGGCTTCTTTGCAGCGCGTCTTTGATATTTATTCTTAGATTATACCTTAACACCTTGACGACAGCGCGGCGATTATATATGCCACCGTTTTGCACTTCATTGGACGTTGTGGCAACTATGTGGGCCACACCCATTGCGTATGCTTTTTGCTCAAATGCCGGATTTTTTCGCATTTTTGTTAATTTGTAGGCCACACATCTATGTTATGTTATCTATCTAGCAATGGCTTTCTATTCACTGGTCCATTCTGCATTTCTAGTAAGTATACCGCGAACAAAATAAATAAATATAGGGTATTGATAAAAAATTAATACATAGAGATTTTGATTATGCAACACTATGTCCGTGTTTGCACAGATAGATCTGTTTTTCACTTGAACAAACATGTCAAAATAATTTTAAACCACTCAAGTAGCTAATTTAGCAAAATTGCCTTTTCATGGGCCTTAACACGTCATTTTGGTCTAACTTCCAGTACAG